GGATTTCAAAATACTGTATATGTGTAGTAACATCCCTTTTTGTGCATGATTCTTTTAAAGGTTATCCTACAATGACAGTAGCAAAGCATGAAGAACAAATGGTCATTAAATGCACTGCTGAGGGGAACCACTATACTCCACAGATCTCCTGGAAAATAAACCATGGCCCTGAGATTCTGGGTGAGTTTCTAAAGATAACACAAAATGGCATGTCACCCATGTTAGTGGCACCATTGTGGTGCTGTTTCATTTGCACTGCTATTGTGAATGTCGAAGGAAAAATGCTCCAATTTATCTGAGCTCTGCTTTGACATTTATTGTGTCATGTGAGCAGGTTTATGAGGGATGAAATGCAAAATGACCCCCTGATATATACTTGACTTTATCTGATAGTTTAGTGCATAGTGCAGTGCATATTTGAATAAAAATAGCAAGTAGGCTTGAACAACATTGTTTTTGAACAACCAGCTGTCATACAGGTCGCTGCACTTAAGTTGTACAAAAGTTGAACAAAAGTAGACGCAGCAACCACAGACACTGCCACAGTAACAGTATTGATTACCACATTTGAAGTAGGTCTTATTTCAAGCCCTAATACATTTTTGAACTTCAATGACCAAAGACCTACTGCTACCAATATATTTTTTGTTTCATTTTGAATTAAATATGTGAGCTGTGTAAGGTATAAATCTGAATTTTGGTCAAAGGTCTTAGCAAGTCATATGAGGATAAGTCATTGTCAGCTGAGGTTGACTTTAAACTTTCACAATCACTTATCACTCACTCATCTGTCCTATCCTTACAGGTCACGCCCAAGTCCATCGAGAAGATAGAAAATATGTGTCCGTGGATATGTTACATGTTAAGTCAGTAAAGAAGAGAGTGACTGTGAAATGCCTTGTTCGCCATCCAGCTCTGTTCTCACCACCTCTGATGAACTTTGTCAAAATTGGACGAGACAGTGAGTACAAACTGAAACAAAGCCTGCTCCTATTTTAATGACTGGAACTTTAGAGATTCATTCAGCCTAGACTACAGAGTCCATGTCCAATAATGACCACCAGAGAAACTGACTATAATTGGGCCTTGTATTGGCCAACACTTGTTCACTTTAATTACTTCTGAAAAAGGAAGATACATGTAAGTTTTCAGATATGACCCGCAGGTAAAATTCGGAAAATTTTGTTTTTGAATTTTCCAGCAGTTTGCTTTTCACACACACAACACAGTAGGAGGTTCTCTGAACAGACGGGTTCACAACAGCAACAAATCGTCCTATTATTCAGATGGGGGATCCCCTGCTCTGTTCTCACATGACTTCTCCTGGATTTCTACGTTATACCAGGAGAACAGGCGGAAAAAGTCCGCAGACTGCAGAGTTCAGTCTCAAAGCAGCTTTAGAGGAACAGGGAAAGGGTGAAAGAAGAGGGGGGGTTTCCATGAGTTTCTGTCACTGACACTGTCTGTGAAAGTTGACCAACAACATAAATATATATTTGGTAAAAAAAACATGTAATTTCCTCTTTCTGTAAGATGCAACTAGTCTGCTTCCTGTAATTGGATTGAAAATAGAGCTTTGTTGTTGTCAGTGTGGATTTTGAAATTGAATTTCCATGAATCAAGTGCTGCTCCGTGACAGTGTTTCCACCCTCTCTGTGTGTGACAGAAACAAAGTTCCACTGCACTACTACGACCAGTGTGCCCACAGCTCCAGGGTCAGCAGAGGTGCAGACAACAACCAGTGGTCCCAGACATAAGACAACATCAGCAGACCACCTCACAACCACAGATGTGAATGGGCCTCCATCAGAGAGCTCTATCCAGTTATCAGCTGTATCCTCCAATCACCCGTTTCCTTCCAAGGAGCCACAGACGGTTTCAGCATCCAGCAGGTTTCCCATAAACCCTGTTACAGGCTCACATCTCAGCACCACTGGTGAGTGAAACTGTTGACATTTATACATGACTGTGGGGGTGTGCGGCAATATGACGCTATTAGATCGTGAACGATAAAGATTTGTATACGTGTATACAGAGTGGGCCTTGATGATCGGTTACAAGTAGTAGTCCAAAAAAACTGCAAAACATTACAAATCACAATAATTAGTTATTGATGAAACCTATTGCTTTATAAATTTAATTAAGGTACAATATCTGAATAAAGCCATGAAGGACTGAATCTTAACTTTGTTTCCTTTATGCTGTACCCCTTATTTATTGCCCACAGCTTGTGGGATGGAAATGACAGAGATCTCAGCTCGCACAGACCGCTTCATTTGGTTGCTGTAGTTCGGTTTCCTGTGACGGAAGTGTCACACTATAGTGTCAGATGTAATATAAATTCAGAGGATGGAAATGTGGGGCTTCACAAAAGGTGAAGATCATTTCAGTGATACACAGTTTACAGAGCATCATCAATGATTTGATATTCCACATATAAAACAAAGCTTGATACTTCATTGTCTTACATTTGAACCTGAAGAAAAGTTGTCGAGAGATGAATCAACACCGAGTTATAAACACAGAAACGTACTGTTCCTAGAAATGATTCAGTTATTCATCTGATTCGGGCAAAACAGAGCATAAGAATGTAGAATGTATGATATCCAGTGTACTGCATTGTATGATAAAATGTAAAATGACACTTGACCAAATCTGTATTCACAGTTTATGCCACAGACTGTATTTGGTTTATGCTCTCGACAGCCGTGTGTTTTATGTCATCTAGTGGACACTCTGAAAAACTACAATGGGGCTGTTGCATTTAGCAAACAAGCTTATTCGAGGATGTGTTACTTATTGTCTCGTCCTTCCTTATTACTCCCTAAAGGCCGGACGTCTGTGTCTGAAACAACAGAGGAGATCACATCCTACAACAGCACAGGGAGAAACACAACAGGTAACTTTACATTGCTTACAGTACTGTCTGCATGGCTGACATAATTATCTAGGGTTGTATTCATAATTAAAATTTGGAATAGGCTTTAAATGTGATTATGGTTTTGATGAAAAACTGCCAACATTCTGTTCATTTCCAGGGAGTAAAAATGATCCACGGTTGCAGACAGGAAGTCAAGGCAGTTCATTACTGATCTTTCTGGTGACGTGCCTGATTGTGGGTCTCCTGATCGTGGTCACGTTTTTTACTATCAAGCTGAGGAGAGCGCACATGACCTGGAAGAAAGGTGAGCAGATCTTATTTCCAGTTTCTGTCCGACATATTATCACCAACAAGTTAGTCAATTTATGAAGCAAATCCTTAGTGGTGGTTTTCCTCTGCTTCATGTCTGTGGAGAGATATATGAAGTATGATATCAATTCTAAATAGACTTTCTCTTTGTGGACCTCTCATTACACCACAAAGCAATGCATAACAAACATATGACAGTTTTCATTGTTACAGAGAATGAAGAGTCTGATCCTTCAGAGGAGAGCAACAAATCGAAATCAAGCCAAGAAGAGAAGGGACAAAGGCGAAGAGGTACACTGATAATTCAGCACATAGAGATTTCAATACCTTCCGGTCCCATGACAAGCTTTGTGGACTAAAAAACGATCATGTGATTGATTACATTTTAGTTTCAGGAAATGAATTGAGTTAATAAAACATGACTAGGTGAGAGTGTTTGCTCAGTGTTGACATCCTTCATTGTTGCTCTGGGAATAAAGCTCCCTTGGGTCCAGACTAATGTATGAGCAGTTTAACGAAACCAATCTGAAATGATGAGTTCCATTCAACACTTACAGAAATTTTGTTAGATTAAAAAGCTACTTTTAATTATATATATATATATATATATACTGTCATAATAAGAAATTACAGTAAGACACCACAAAGTCTATACACCAGACACCATATACTACACAAAGCTAAGTGTATACACTTTGTGGTGTCTTACTGTAATAATATTTGATACAACACATTCTAACTTTCCAACAAGGCCTACTTGAGCTCATTTATTCATCAAATTCTGTCAGTGAATAATTCCACTGCTTTAAAACCAACATGACTAATTCAGTTTTGTGTAGTTTATAGTTTGTGGTAACACACAAACAGAGACTAGAAAACGTTTCCAGCAATGAGTCACTGACATGCCCTCTCTCTCTCTGTCTCTCTCTCGCAGGGCTCATCAACACAGCATTCACACAGTATGTTGTTGAAGAACCAGCAGTGATCACTTCAAACACAGGTGCCATGTCAGCAACAGAGAGTGTAAATCAGGAGAGGACTTCTCCACCTCAACCCCCGTCACAATTTTCAGCCAACCGTAACATAAGGGAGACGGAGCTATAAGATTCTGTGAAATACAGCATTGTCCTTGTTTTACTGCACTGGTCACAATGAGTGTATGTTTACACAGAAAAGAATGTGGTGACGCATTGTTTCAACTGTAGTGCTATTATGTACTGTGTGAATGCTGTACAGTTTGTTTACCTGTAAGAATAAATTATATTTTGCTAAAACAACAAACTTTTTATTTGTTTAAAGGAAATATGAAAACTGTTTTTGCAGATTATCTGTGGCTTGTACGATTTTTTTAAAAAATAAAATATATTTAATGAGGGCCCTGGGGGCTACAAAGACTAGTTTTACAGACAGAGACCAAATGAAATGCAGAGCATGGTGGTGTGTGAGGCCACAAACACACTAATCCTGATGTCAGGCAGTAGCTGAATCATTCATTAGAAAAGTCATTGTTTCAGAGTATGTATGATCTGTATCTTCCTTTCGGTGTGTCCTTCCATTTTCAAAAAATCTACATATCCCAGTTAGCTCCTGTCTATCCACGTGCTGTTTCGACATTTCAGTTCCAATCATTCTGAAGCTTACTCTCTTCTAACTAGAACTAGAAGCATACTGTAGATAGATCTGATGAATGGAAAATCCCATGAGGCAGGATCGTAAGCCTGCATAAGAGAAGCTGAGCCATGCGGTCATTCAAGCGATTACGAAACCCACATCATGAAACAGGAAGTGGGATGGAGCAGCACAGCATCACTCAAGCGTCATTGGTGGACCGCAGAGGAAGTCTCGAAGCCTCGAGCTGTGATTGGCTGTTCTGTCTGACATATATAACGTTCCGGTCCCAACCAGACTTCCCTTTCCTTCTCAAACCGGCAAGGACAAGTCCGCCTCACCGCACCCAACACCTAAAGTCATCAGCGGTTCAATTATCCGGTAAGTCTTTTTTTCTTTTACAAATGTAACATACATTTTTGATGGACGTTTAAGAAATACTCTCAACCGTCGATTGAATCAATGGCGGTGGTGGCCTATTGACACTGCTCATTCATGGGCGCTGTTTTCTGCGCTAAAATGACCAGAGTCTATTTAGTTGTGCTTTATTACTGGATTGAAACATAAGCGATGTAGATGATTAACTTCACGGAGGATAACGTTTAGTGTGCGTCTGTAATGGCTGCAACACCGAGCTCAACGCGTGGGCTAGCTAACGGTAGCCGCTTAGCTTAGCGGGGACAAGGGGTGGGGGTGGGGAAGGTTCGAGAATGTTCTCGAACAGTCTTTCAGGGCGTCGAGAAGGACCGTACTTCCGGTTGCTCTTTCAGAACAAAGGCCTCTTATCTCGCCGTGTGTTTTAATGCTACGAGATAAGAGTGCGCTGCAGTTTGGACCATCTGAATTAACATTAAATGTACAATGTATTCAAAACACTTTTTTTTAATATAGTGATAAAAATATATTTATAGTGATATAAATGATAAAGCTATTTCACAGCAGTTGCGCTGCTGGTGATTTTTAATCTGTTAATTCATTTATTAACACTGTGGAATTTATTACCACTCTCCTGTGTATAACTGCTTAAATTAAACCTGAGTTTCTTATTTAAATGTTTTGTCTGAATAAGCTTTCAGTTGTAATCGTGATATTAACAAATCAACTTTCTTGTCAGGAATCATGTCTAAGGGACCAGCGGTTGGTATTGATCTCGGGACCACCTACTCCTGTGTTGGTGTGTTCCAGCATGGAAAAGTTGAGATCATTGCCAATGACCAGGGCAACAGGACCACACCCAGCTATGTGGCCTTCACAGATTCCGAGAGGCTGATTGGAGATGCAGCCAAAAACCAGGTTGCCATGAACCCCACCAACACAGTCTTTGGTAAGAGTTCAATTTTCTTATTGATCTAAAGTGAGCTTGTGTCGTTCTTGTCACAAAAACCTGCTGAAAGTGGAGTACCTCTTCACAAGAGTGGGCAATTAAACTTGACTAAAAATAAAATGAACAAGAGTGATACAAGTCTTACTCAAAAAGGTCCTATGTGACTTGTTAAAGAGCACCTCACTGTGATGACGATTTTCCTGCCATTCGTAGTTTCCACCAGAGGTCGAAAGACCAAAGATGGCCAAAACCTTCCTTGGATGTCTGAGTGGGCTTCTATTATAAAAGTGCACACTGTCCCAAAAAGGTTCTTGAAATAAAAATAAGAACTTTCTTTTCACAGATGCCAAAAGGCTGATCGGCCGCAGGTTCGATGACGCAGTTGTACAATCAGATATGAAGCACTGGCCATTCAATGTCATCAATGACAGCACTCGCCCCAAAGTTCAAGTTGAGTACAAGGGTGAGTCAAAGTCCTTCTACCCAGAGGAGATCTCTTCCATGGTGCTGACCAAGATGAAGGAGATTGCTGAAGCCTACCTCGGAAAGGTACGTTACCGCTATATTTTTTTCTGTAAAGAAAGCCACAATACTTGAATGCTATGGAGTGAATTTTAATGCTTTTATTCCTTTTAGACTGTCAACAATGCTGTAGTCACAGTGCCCGCCTACTTCAATGACTCCCAGCGCCAGGCCACCAAGGATGCAGGCACTATCTCTGGCCTCAATGTTTTGCGTATCATCAATGAACCAACTGCTGCTGCCATCGCCTATGGTTTGGACAAGAAGGTATATAAATCTTAAAAATAACCGAAATTATAATGAAACATTGGTGATGGTTTTAAATAAACAGAACTAGAAACAATTCTAGTTCTGGGTAGTTGTGTAGAGTTTGAAATTTTCACTCCTTTCCAGGTTGGATCAGAAAGGAACGTCCTCATCTTCGATCTTGGTGGTGGCACCTTTGATGTGTCCATCTTGACCATTGAGGATGGCATCTTTGAGGTCAAGTCCACCGCTGGAGATACTCATCTTGGTGGGGAAGATTTCGACAACCGCATGGTCAACCACTTCATCGCTGAGTTCAAGCGCAAGTACAAGAAAGACATCAGCGACAACAAGAGAGCTGTCCGTCGTCTGCGCACCGCTTGTGAGAGGGCAAAGCGCACATTGTCTTCCAGCACCCAGGCCAGCATCGAAATCGACTCCCTGTATGAGGGAGTTGACTTTTACACCTCCATCACCAGGGCTCGCTTTGAGGAGCTCAATGCTGACCTCTTCCGTGGCACACTAGACCCTGTGGAGAAGTCTCTCCGTGATGCCAAGATGGATAAGGGACAGATCCATGACATTGTCCTGGTCGGTGGCTCCACCCGTATCCCCAAGATCCAGAAGCTGCTTCAGGACTTCTTCAATGGAAAGGAGCTCAACAAGAGCATCAACCCCGATGAAGCTGTGGCCTACGGAGCTGGTAAGAATCGTCTGCCAATTGATGTGCATCACTTAGTTTTTTTAGACTTGGGCCGTGATATCAATAAGTGTTTAGCACCTGAAGGTCAAGTTTCAAACTTAATATAATTTTCTATATGCCAACTGCTGTTTTGTCTTTACAGCTGTCCAGGCTGCCATCCTGTCTGGTGACAAGTCTGAGAATGTGCAGGACCTGCTGCTTCTGGATGTCACCCCCCTGTCCCTGGGTATTGAGACTGCTGGAGGCGTCATGACTGTCTTGATCAAACGCAACACCACCATTCCTACTAAGCAGACCCAGACCTTTACCACCTACTCTGACAACCAGCCTGGTGTGCTCATCCAGGTGAGCACGTGTTTTAATGATTCTTTTTCTTGTCACCTTGTTTGCCCCCCTGAGGCCTTCCTTGTGTGTTTGAGCTGAATAAAGCTGATAGAACTGTAGATGAACATGTTTTAAACATTGTCTTCTAACACACTTCAACAGGTTTATGAGGGTGAGCGTGCCATGACCAGAGACAACAACCTGCTGGGCAAGTTTGAGTTGACAGGCATCCCTCCTGCTCCTCGTGGTGTTCCCCAGATCGAGGTGACATTTGATATTGATGCCAACGGCATCATGAATGTCTCTGCTGCTGACAAGAGCACTGGAAAGGAGAACAAGATCACCATCACCAATGACAAGGGTATTGAATGCTACTCCACCCTAATTTAACTGCAGTGTTATCCCAGCATCASATGATAAATGCTAATCTTACATATTTGATGACAGGTCGTCTCAGCAAGGAGGACATTGAACGCATGGTCCAGGAGGCTGAGAAGTACAAGACAGAGGATGATGTCCAGCGTGACAAGGTGTCTGCWAAGAATGGAGTGGAGTCATATGCTTTCAACATGAAGTCAACTGTGGAGGATGAGAAGCTCGCTGGCAAGATCAGTGATGAAGATAAGCAGAAGATCTTGGACAAGTGCAATGAGGTCATCAGCTGGCTGGACAAGAACCAGGTAAATACTCAGCTCTTATTTTTTCTTTTCTAATGATGAGACATTTGTCCAAATACTGAAAGTCCTTGTTTTGCAGACTGCTGAAAAGGATGAATATGAGCATCAACAAAAGGAACTGGAGAAGGTGTGCAACCCCATCATCACTAAGCTGTACCAGAGTGCCGGTGGCATGCCAGGTGGTATGCCAGAAGGCATGCCTGGTGGCTTCGGTGGAGCTGGTGGTGCCGCTCCTGGCGCTGGATCATCTGGCCCCACCATTGAGGAGGTCGACTAAACATTCCCTCAGCTGCTACCTCCTGAGAAAGTGCTCTAAGAAAGTAACCCTCTTATAGCACAAGTTACAAGCTTAAGAGTGTAATTTAAAGTATCTTGTTATTGCATCATTTGACACAACTGGGAACAGCTTGTACTTGGCTCAGTGGAGCAGTGAGTCACAAAGCGTTTTGTATGATGTCACTGCCTTGTCAATAAACATGAAACCCTCTGTTTGACTCCATCCATCTTTTTGTCTAGGACTTAAAGCCTGTTTTGCTCAGGATCCATTTATAATTGGCTCCAAAGTGTTTCTTAGTTGCTATACCTGCTGAACTATTTAGGAGACAATGAAATCTTGTTACATCCTCTGATCAAAAGAGGGGGATTTAAATTATGCAGAGATTCAGGTTTTAATTAGACATGTTCTAGTCTCTGAACATCTGTAGAACTAGCTGCTTGTTACAGAATTTGGCACCGTGGCAAAACTTAATACAAGATTTATGCCATGCTATGAAATATTTTGAACCCATTTAGCTCAAATGTGCAGAAGTTGTTTAATGCATTAGTACCTTGAATGTCAACACCTTTACTCATCAAAAGACTGGGATGCCATAGTAACATGGTTGACAAATGAAATCAATGTTCAGATTGATAATGGTCTTCAGTACAATAAACATTTTAGAATAGTCAAACTTAGAGGCAAACGACCCCTCACTCTTATTCACACAATTGAATTTCCAATAAACCTGAGGGCACAGAAAGCAGGAGCAGAACATTCAAACGCCTCACAGAACAAGAGACACGGATACATTAAGGCATCAAATCAGCGTGAAGAAGCAAAACAGATCAGATTCAGTCTCCGGTGAATCACACGCTGCAGCTCATTGTTGCGTCACATCTCCATGGTTACACTGTGTTGTGTCGACTACTCACAGAGGAAACAAGCAGTGTATTCCAACCGGTTAATTTACTTTACTTGCATGAAAACAGCATTAACACGATGAGTTAGTGCTGTCTTAACCCAATAAACACAAGACCCGCAGGAGGCAGTTTCTGAGCTTAGAACCAGGTAAGGTTTACGGTTCGTTCGGTGAAACAGGATGCTAAGCTAACTCACGGCTAGCTGTAGCCTATCTTCTACTGTTAAGCAAAGTTAAAGTTAACAACGTACCTAATGTCTACTTCTCTGGTGTTAAACACGTGGTTACGGTTTCTGTACTTCATTGTAATGTCTTGTCTCCTGTCTGAGTACACCGATTTTACTTGAATTAACTTCATATTCAGTTTGAATATTATATTACATTCCTAATCAGATTTGCTCTCTGTATTATAGCTACAAACAACACATGACAGATACTTTATTATTGCAATTATTAAGTAATACGTGTACATCACTTAAAATCTATTTGTTTATCGATGGGGAAAAAAATCTTTCATTCTCAAACCTATATGATTTGTCCAATCCAGGTATAATACATATCATTGGATGATGGATGTGTATGTTTCAGGGCCCCAGCAATCAACCTCTTATTGGCCCTGCTCTTTACTCTAAAAAATGATTCACAGGTTCAACTTAAAAAAATTAGGTAACAATTTGTATGGATCTTTTTAAGTAAGTTCCACTCTGGCATTATTGAATACATACTTCGAGTCTTTTATAGTCATTCTATTCTAATTACTTAAGTATATCCAATGTGATTTGCTTTGAGCTTTAAAAGCTTAATTAATTTGAACAAACTAAATATTAATTCAAATGTTGTGTTGACATCAAGCTTTCAAATGATTTCATTTAAGGTACTCTAACATCTTTATTTTATTTCAATCCTACATTTTTGATTATTAGTAGTTTATGTATTTTAAGTTAGAACAACAAATAACAGCTCTGGTTATATATGGTAAGACTGTTTATTGTAAACACTGCTCAAACTGTTTATTCTAACCATGAACAATTATGCCAACATCTGTGCACAAAATATACATGCCTAGCCACTTCCAAGTATTAGAAAAAAAATAAACTGGTTCCTCATCCCCGATTGAGACAGTCTTCATAATAGGCCCTTTGGCAGCCATTTTGACAAGTCATTGAAGGGTAAACACAGGTGTAATGGTGTAATTGATAATGTAAATTTAGCTCTGTTTAGGTGGGCCAGAGACCTGGTATTGCACATGTTACTGGAGTGGCCATGACTTACTAAATAGAACAAGACCATAATCCATTTTATAAAATCACACCTGAGTTTACCCTACTATGATGAGTCAAAATGGCGGCAATGAGAATCAAACTAACACTGCATTTAAGTGCTTCAAATGAACACAGAGTGAAATATTTATAAAAGTTTCCCTCAAACAAGACAAACCAAAAATGACCACATTCTTAAAAAATACTGTGGATGATATCCTGAACTTAATACAGCTTTTTTATCAAAGCCAAAAAGTAGAAACACATCTGTAGAATACAACACAATTCAACATTACAAACTTCACTTACTTGGGAACAAAATACATTGAGCTGAGGTTGAGTGCGTATATCAGCCCTGTTAGCAAGGCACGGGCTCTTGGTACATTCAGGTCTTCCAGGACCTGTGTTCCCTTGATGACTATCCTTGCACTGGCTGTGTCAGACATTATGGCACCCTTGGTGATGAAAATCTTCATCACCTCATTGGTAGCCTGCGCTTCACCATCCTGTAATAAATAAGACAGAAAATAACAAAAGCAACACAAAGTACAGTGAGCTGTTTGAACTTCAGTGTTTCTTATTAAGTGCTCTTTGAAGAGGTCCTCCTCCTTTTCTCTGAGATACACCACCAGACAATGATTACTGACCTCTCTCCTTCTTTCCACTGAATCATCCTGTAAACAAGAAAAGTATTTTTAGAACTACTCATCCACAGAGTGGACAGTATCGTCTTTAAAGGGTTGACATACCTTTGTAATAGATCAGAATTGAAGTCGTCCACTGAGTGATGGGTGTGTTTCCGGCCCCTACGAGAGGTAAACGTTTGTTTTGAAATTACCATTTTCAAATACACGTTACAGTTTCCTGTTCCCAATAAAGACAAGGGAGAAACTCCACCATGTCCATGTCTAAGTCTATAATGCTTTAAGAGATTGTTCTTTCTTGGTGTTTCAAATTTGCAAATCTTACAGACCCAATTCATTTTTTAAGACTGAGGAGACTGGTTCAGATCGCTCTTATATTCTTGGTGTACTGTCATCCAATTATAATTTTTCAAAGTCAGAGTTGTAGCACTTGTCTTACAGTTAACTCTAAAACCTCTGATAATATGCCAGTTTGTAATGTTGAGGCTGAAAACCATTTTACTTGCAAAACATTATGCAGCAAATTGCTGAATAGAAAATGAATGTACTGAATGGTGCAATGCCAAATCAAAAAACAATTATCTCTCCAGTGTTACAGCAAGGTTACATTGTGCAAACTTCAGCATAACCAGTTAGAAATGGTGCACGCAGAATGGCTACTAAACAACAGAAGCCTGAAGTAAAACATCTCAAAGTGAGCAAAGCTTACTGATGTAGTTTTAAGTGCTGATGAAGCTCTGTGGGGTAAACTAAGTAACAGCTAACTAGCTTATTTTTTCACAAAACCTTTCCACAGTGGTGTCACACAGCTTTGTGATTAAACGTAAGTGCTGCATAAAACAATGATGTCTTGCACTGTGTGCTGATGCAGTTAGCGGTTGTGAATGAAACAAAGATAATTACTTACCCTAATGGCATTCAAATAATAAAACTCTTGTTTCTTCTCCTCCATTCTCTTCTTGTGATAGAGGTATCTGCAGTGGAACAAGCCCAGGCAATTTGTGCGGGTGCTTATTTTGAAAAAAAAACAAGTTGGGCTACCTTTTTATTTCTCAACAGTAATGTGAGCATAGAAACATTGATTCAAAAGTGGTAAACAGATAAGTCAACACCTTGCTCTTAATATTAACATTGGCCAACTTCTCACAGAAAGTTGTCAACTGACAAAGACATGTTTATCTAACAAACATAATTTTTTATGTTAAAAATCATCTTTATTTTAAGGGTGATTTACTAACCCCATGAATCATTTCTTAGAGTATACTGTGACACAATGGTCTCATTTTACTCACAATCACTTATGGCACAGTCACCAACATTATGTCTGAGTCGAAACTGGCAAAGATTATTTCCCAACAGAACCAAGAGGGTGAAAATAGGGAGTTGCCATTTTAGCAGGTCCTCTGGGATATGAACCTGACTTGCTTCACAATTTATCATTAGTCATACATTGACTAATGATAAAATGTATGACTAATGATAAATCATTATGAATCCTGAAGCCAGGTTCATATCCAAGCAAGTCCTTATTGGCACCCTCTTGGTTCTGTTGGGAAATCGTCTTTGCCAGTTATACTCAGATGTGAGGGGAAGCAAATGTTGGTGTGACTGTGCCATAAGTGAGTGGATTGTAAGCAAAATTTGACCATTGTGATGTGTCACAGTAGTAACAAAATATCAAGAGCAGGTCTAATAAGAGTTTGATGGCTGGGACCCTGAAACATACAAATCCAACATATGAATTATACCTGGATTTGACAAATCATATAGGTTTGAGAATGAAAGAATGTTTTTTCACTTTGATAAACAAATAGATGATAGTGATACACATGTATTACTTAATAATTGCAATAATAAAGTATCTGTCACGTGCTGTTTCTAGGTAGAAAACAGTACATTAACGGCAAGCTCAAATCGTGGTAGCGGTAGCTCATAGAGGCACTTCCGGTGGCAAGATAAACTGCCGCTGATATATAAAGGCAGCTGCCTTTGTTGTAACACTGTTTGTAGGCAGCTGCCTTTTTTGCCACATCTTTTAAAAGCAGCTGCCTTTGATGCCACACTGTTTGGGGGCAGTTGTCACTGCCAGCTGACCTCAAAATGAATCAAGATCCATATGCATGATTTCAGTGTCTATGAAAAGGTAAGAACTCAAAGACTGTATTCACAGTCACAGTGTGACTGATACTGTGCCTGAGTAAACTGTGATAAACCAAAGGGGAAATGTACATTTTATCCTTGCCTTAAATTCTACATAAGATGGTGAATAACTCACTGATAGCAATGGTGTACAGAGATGCCACTGCTCATGCAGCAATTTATTGACTACAAATGCACCAAAGTAGATGGAAATACCTAAATGGAACAGTTTTAGTAATGGTAGAACCAGGCACACTCTCCATTTATATTTATGTCAATTGCTTTCTCATTTAAATCTGAAAAAAATCCTTTAATGTCAGCGAGTAAATTGTTATAATTGGACATCCCTACAGGCATATTCAAGAAACCAGTTTGTTTTTTTTACTTTTGCGATTTGGACATTTCAAGTTTAATTTTAAGTTGTCAGAATGTCATAAACAAATACTGCAATATTGGAAGGTTGCTATTGAGCATCTTACACGTGGCTCCACCTTGTGGAACAACAGAACAACTACAAGAGACAGGAAAACCCTCTCTCAAACAAAATTTACATTAGAGAGTGTTGTGATTTTACTCATGGACAAGCTCAGTCAGAGTGATAAAGATGTCGATTTACAACTGCCAGCAATCCTATTCCAAGTAGAATTGAATTGGAAGCAAATTTATGTCTGACTGCACCACTCACTGATTTTTTCCATCTGTGTTCCTTGATTCTAATTTTCAAAGTGAGTTTTTGATTTCTCCAAGCAACATGCTCCCTAAGTGGTGTGAGGCCCCCTCTAGAAATATTTTGACGTGTCACTGCAGGAAAAACACAGGTGATGGCTTAATAATATATAGATTTTTCAGTTTTAAGTTTGTGCTATTCTATGTTGATTTTATTCATGCATGTTATTTTTGTGACATCATGTCCTTCAAAATCGAATTATGCAAAATAGGCAAAACCTTTACCTTGTAATTCTCATTCAGAGCATTAGGGATTTTTTACACTGATCATATCTCCGACTCAGTGAAAAGAATTGCAGACATGTCAACAGACTGCCTAAAACCTATACTAGCACTAATACAATCAATATAACTGTTTTTTTAGACACTATACTCTGTTTGTGTCTAGTTTCACATAAACCTGCTACATATAAAACAAGTACTTAATTTTGGCTCTGTGTGTACTTTATGGAGTTAACATTTGAGCTGACCATCTCAGCATAATGTGTGAATTCGTCCATGTTGGAATAAGGGGTGTTTTTTCTGTTCCGTCCATTCTTACAACATTGTTTGAAAGCAGCATTACCACAGAATACTTAAACCAAGCCATCCTTAATGTCAGTAACACCTGCACTCTTTGCACTGTGACAAGTCAAATCATTTTTGGAGGGAAAGGCCAATAAAGAATCGATTTTGAATGTGTTATCTATATTCCTGGTCACATTTAGAAACCTGGGTATGTAAAAAAAACAGAAGGTTAAAGGTTAAATCTAAAGACTGACAGTTTTCTCATTACTGAGACTTATATTTAGTCTTTTTTTTTGTTTTACCTTTATTCACCAATTAGTGCATATACATAGGTAGTAGGACACCGTGTGGAGAAAGAAACATACACCAAAACAAATTAATCATGAAAGTAATAATAATAAACAGACAAGCACACAAAAAAGAAACAGAAGAAAAAAATTAAACTAAGTGTAATCTTTTCAGCTTTGTATATATGCATGGGGCTTTATAGGATGGGTATGGTATTTTGTTCTGTTCATTCATGCACATATACATATTTCCTCTTGATTATAACATTGACATGTTTAGTATAGTGGTTCAGTGATTTATTTGAGAGCCCAATTGAACTTGAAGGTACATACAGCAAATGTACCGGCTGTAAAGTGAAGATTTAGATGTTACACATGTTAGACCTGCATGTTCATCAGACATGTGTTGCTCAATGCCTTGAGATGAATACAAAAGGGCTCAATATACTTAAGCTGCTCACACAGTAGCCTGTTGCTGATCTTGTACATTAAAGCTTTAATTTTCACAACCACAGATAATCAGATCTTCATAAAGCAGACTCCATCTTCAACATAAACATGAAGAATGGACTTGGACAAGGAAGGATGTGTGCAGAGATGAAGGCCAAGCAGAGTAAGCATCCCTCTTCCAGACAAGCTGCTCCTGCAAACCACTCTGAATCTGGGGAGTCCGACACAGAAAGCGTGATCCACGAGAGAGCCTACCAACAGCAGCTACGAATGCAAATTGACCGCCATGATCAAAACAAATACACTCTGCCTGAAAAGGAGAATGCTGAGTTACTGCAGGGAGATGAGGAGGATGAGGATGACACTGCAGATCTTCAAGTTTATGATAGCCTAGAAGTAACATCGAAACTCCATACCAAGAGGAACCCCACCCTCCAACATACTAAATATTTGGATACACAGATGGATGAAAGAGGAGGAAGGTGAGTTCACTATCTCTGGTTTGTTCAGCAAATAGCAACTCATACAGTGTTGTAACATCTGTACACATTCAAAATCAGTTAATTGTTTCGGAAGTGTCTTTTGTTGCACATGAAACAATATCTAACAATAACATCAGGCTATCATGAACACACTCATGGTGTGTTTGTTTGACTGTAATGGATGTGAGGAATGTATGCTACATTTCTTTTGCAAACAAACAATACTGTGTGTCAGTAACCCTGCCCTGTCTGTGGCTCTCAGCTCTAAATCTATCTGCTCCCACGGAGGAGGTTAATCTTAAAATAAAGAGTCAGTAATTTGCAACTAAAAATGATCCAGTTACTTTCTGAAACAGCTACAGACACAATTCAAAACAGGAATGGCAACAATTCAATTCAATTTTATCTGTACAGCGCCCAATTACAAGTTACATGATTTCAAGGTAATGTACGTAGTATAGAAGAATTACTTTTATTGTCACGTTAACACTTTTACATGCATACATGAAATTGTTCTCCGCATTTAACCCATCCAGTTGGCACCTGTCGAAACACGCATAGAAACACACATTGACACATGCCATGTACACACATATACTGGAGCGATGGACTGCGGTTAGTATGGTCAAAACCTCACAAAATAATTGAGAAACCCAACTCCTGTTGAGAAAGCTCTAGCAGAACCAGACAGAACCAGACAGACAGAAACAGGAGTAAATAGTGAATGTGTTGCAATTTGGTGAAATAGTGGGAATTTACACCGACAGCTTAGAATCGGTGGGATTTTTTAAGTTTTTTTTAAACTACAATGTGTATTCATCATGTCACAGAGAACACAACTTCCATAGTTTCAAACAATGGAGCTCTATGTCACAAGTGATTAACAAACACACACACACAGTCGATGTAATACAGATGACTTATTCTTATATGTGGTTCTGCAGTTTGCCCAATAGGTGGCAGTAACTGATGTTAAAGGCTGCCTGTTGATATAGAACCTGCAATCTTGGTTTCGTCTGGAATTATAATTGAAACTTAATTTCACTGTAGATGGTTGTAGAGATTAGCTGGGTATAGATACAGTTGTAAAGAAAATCTGGCTCATCACATCATTGGCTTTGTAGCTGCAACGATAATTCTGCAAATGTATATAACACAAAGCTATTCACTATGGTGAGATCGGTGCTCGGCCTTGTTCGGTTTGCCTATTGAACTGGACTCTGACAAACACTGTCTGTGACAAATTCATTAAAATTAAGCAGATAATAGTGCTGCTTAGATGGAATACAACAAGGGGTGTATGGCAGCAATCAAACCCTTTACTTTTACACAGCACATGGATGATGAAAGAGGAATAGCCTTCATTCATCACTTAACAATGAAACCGTGTCGGCCGTTTAATGAGATGCAGGCACTGATCGTACGTTGCGGTGAGAATGGCCTAATTCAGGTGCTTTGAGAATAACAGCTTTCATTTGCGTGAAATTAGATTTTTGTTTTGTTTGGGTGGATCACAATAAGTGGTCACTCGTGGTCCATTAACAGGGATCATTGTTGCAGTAAAGGAGATCTCTCTTTCACTCTTTTGAGGGAGCAGAGCAGAGGGAGGCCTCTGTGGTGTGGACAACACCTCATCTGTTTTGCCAATCTCGTCGACACGTACCGTTGTCTCCGCTTCTCTTTCCGTCAGACCCCAGCAGAAAAGGGGCACTCTCTATTTTCCCGTCATTAACCTGTGCGGATTGATGCCCACCAAGTGTGGGTCCACATCCCAAAGTATATTGTTTCAGAGGAAAATGAACATGACATACTCTCACAAAAGGCTCCATTTCATAGGACTGAGGAAGTGGACACAGTCCCATTCCCATTATCATTTTCTCATGGCCCTCTCTGCTCCCTCCTCAAAGTGGGTAAGCCTTTTCACACAATGCATAGTTTACAAACCCAATGGGCATTCCTCATTCAAGCAAAAGATTCCTATTAAAGCAAGTCCATTCATCCCTCCTTGCTATATTTTACACCTATCTCTCTCCAAAGGATATTTGAATATAGTCTCTATGAAGATTTTTTTTATTTTCCTCTTCAGTGATTGTCACTATATTTCACTGGCTTTTGTATTTATGTATCTGTATCTTGAGCTAGAGATAATGGGCTGTGGGGATCTGCCAGCATCACGCCTAGCTGCATGTTGTCTATAATGCATTCTCCAACTTGTTTGAGTCTCAGTCATTAGAGAGACATCCCTTACCCTTTTGGCCTCATCGAAGTGAAGGGCCCTACACCTAGACACCCCCCCACCGACGCCCCCACATGCACAACATCACAGCAGGAGAATTAGGCTCCCCTCGTCCTCCCAGTAAGCACAACAAAGAGGCTCTCTGCTATTTATTTTAATGAGATCTTTTCATCACCATCAGAAAGAGCATTTTAGCCTGCAATTTTCAAGCCATTTCATAAGCTGAAAATTGCCGTTTGTGAACCATTCCCCCGCTAGTAGCTCTCAAATACACTCTCATTAGTGAGCCTGGAGGTGAAAATACGAAAATTATCTGTAAATACAGGCTCATAGCCCCCTCATCTGTTTCAATTTCAGAAGTCTGTGATAAGGCCTAATACTTTGTTTGAGGACATCATCATTCTAATAATGGTCTAATGCCTCTTGTTCCTTTGACCCCTCACTACAGGACTATGTGGCATTCAGGTGTCTGTAACCCTTGAATATGGAATATAATTAACACTATACTATACATACTGTTATTCTATCCAGAGACGTAGAGCAAAATTCTGTCTAAGGCTTGTTGTTCTGGACAAATGATGACGTTTATTTTGTTGTCTGTCTTTAATCTAACAGTCGGCTGCTTCCTGATGACGCCTATTCTGACCTGCGATATGACCCCAACTGGAAGACCAACCTGAAGGGAAATGGCCGCCTCTTTGAAATTCCACAGAATTCTGTTGAGGGATATTACCAAGTCCCTGAAGAGAAACCTGCTCAGTCATACAATGTGAGACAGGGACTGAAAATAAAAGGAGGATACAGATACATTGTTGACACAAGTCCACCTGTTGTGACTCCACAAATGGCTGGACATCACCAGCCATATCACCTACACCTGGAAGATGGTCTTACAAGCACTGCAGCATCTCACCACGACAGGCATGCTTGTCAGAGTAGGTCACCAGAACCTCACCTTTCAGAAGCTTCCACCAAAAAGGAAAATGTCAACAGTTTACAGAGAGGAAACAGAGAGAACTATGAGAGAAGCTGTGACAGTGAAAGTTTTAGCAAGTCTTCTAATATGAGAGAGGACCTACATGGCACAGAATTTGAGAACAACTACCAACAACTGAGATGTACACAATCAAACAACCTACAAAGCCTGGTGGAGGACTTTGTTGAACTCAACAAAATAACCCTGGGGTGCAGCACATCTAAACATGACTCTTATGTGAGGGTGCATGCATGCAAACAGATGCCCAGTGTGAATGAGGTGAGTACAGAATCTAGTTTTCTCAGCCAGTAGCATCTACTGATTGTTAAAATGACAGAATGAAAATTTGATGTTTGAAACATGAAAACAAACTTGCGTACGCAACTGCCATGATCACCCTCAGGCAGACGTTCTCTTGAAACAGGTTGCAATTACAGAAACAGACACCAGGAGCTGCACTAGTATAGATAATAAATCTTGGATGGCAGCGCTATTGTTGCACATGATTATAAGATGAAGTTTGACTGGAGGCAGACAATGGAAAAAAATAGGTCTAAATGATCTGACTTGCCATTCCAGTTTGAACTACAGTTTATATTTGTGTGTTTGTGATCTATTAGGTAGTATCATGAGACTTTATAGCTTCCTGATGGATAGATAAACTATATCTATTGAATTTACTTTAGGTTATTTGTTTTGAAAATGGATGGAGACACACAATATTGTGAATGTAGTAATGACTGAGGGGTATGGGCCCCAAACAGCTACTAGTAAGTTTGTCTTATTGTGGGTCAAAGGCAGGAACTACAATGTTTGTAACATCAGTGAATGATAGTGAGATGATAGAGGTGGGGTATGTTTTACAGTCTCATGAGAATTATAACAAACAAGCTTCTTGTTTTTCCCCCATGGCATCAGCCTATGTTATGCTTATCTACTAATATTAATTGTATCTGACTGCCATATATAGTCATCTCGGACAACCAATAGAAAATATCTTATGATGTTTCCTCTGACCCAGTCTGGAGAATTAATTTGGCAAAGGAGCATATCTGTTTTCATCTGCCTTCTCCTCCACAATATGAAAGGAGCCATGTCTGGCTATGCAGTGCCTATTATGAGTTGATGTGTACAACAAGAACATCAGAGACGCATGGTTACCAATAGGCTCTTAGACATCCCTGCACCTGGCACAGTGGCATAATTGGTCAGGATGGCCCGCATTCCCCATTTGTTGGGCCACAAGACTGTTTGCTGGCTATAATACCCCCAACCTTGTTCACCCATCTGAGCCCCAGCCCTCTACAATGTCTCATATCATCACCATTTACATAGTCAAGAGCCGTTAGCTTTGTGCAATAGTAAACAGAGCCGGAGCCTTTCCCTCTCCTGAGCCCTTGTGTTTTGTCATTTTCCCTCTGAATTCGCTTGTTAGTTTTCCATTGCTCTGTCTCCCCAAAGACGTGTCTTACTTAATGAGGGACACAGGGCATAAAAGAAGGGGGCACCAATTTGCATGTAGTCTGTTTTTTTTTTGTTTCATTACAGGATTAATCTATGAATTGGATGTGCTACGGCAACAGAGTAACACATCAACAAAGCGGTACAGAAACAGACAGAAACCAGAGTAATTTTTAAACTCTCTATAATAACTGTAGCTCTGTGGTAAGTCCACAGTGCAAACTTGAATGAAATAGGATTTTTTTCACACACACACACCACGAGTGACACATATATTTCAGAATTGTATTATTTCCTACAGATTTTTATAAAATCCAATACTGAAGGTTAGACACACACAGACACACACACATACCAACCCAGTCTCAACTCAAAATATGTAATGCTATGTTGGTCCACAGTGCAAAATTTAGTAATCCCACAATCAGGGCCCTCAAATTGTTAGAGATGCCTAACATCTTTTACCGCAAAGCTCACTCTTCTTCCTACTGTACTTCCTGGCAAAAGATAGCAACACTCTATGAACAAATATCATCAGTTTCAAAAATCAATAAGAGCGCACACAAGCCAGTTGTTAGCGGGCCCATTTAAAATAAGCCATTTGATCTTTTGATGGGAGAGGCCATCTGAAGGCAGCTTGTTATAATTAGACGTGTTATTAAATGTACACAATTTCCTAATGCAGCAAATGTTTAGCCCGGCCAAGTGGCAGAGTGGCTGCAGCAGTGATTGGCTTCATCGGGGCTCGGGCCTCCTTTGATAAAGACAGAAGTAGCAGATCAATCTTCTGCTATTGCACTCAGCCCTCAGAGTCCCTTCTCCTCTCGCAGGCCCTCACTTCAAAGCCAGGGGAACATAATGTACAATCTTTTAATAGCTTTAGACCAAAGCTCTGGGGAGCTCTCTACCACTGTATACCCTGCCTCAGTCTAAACACCTAATCAAGATTACCTGGGCCGGCCACAATAGCAGCTAAATGCAATTCAAGATCCACAGCCCCTTTGAAGTCCTCATTGCGAAAAGCAGATGTTTCCTGGGTACAGGAGGTAATACAGCTAGCTGCAATTGCCAGACTTTGTTGTGACATCGTCTCGCAGGGAAGCAATTACAGGCCCAATTTAGTAGAAAAGATATTACACAGCTTACCATGCTCAAAATGCAATACAGGCTTGATCATTTGCTCCAACTGATTGGGATTTTTATAATGGGTGACAAAAGGCAAGAGCAGGGGGAATGGGTAAAGGTGAGAGGTGCAAATTGTTTGTGTGTGTGAGTGTGTACATTGCCGGACACACAGGATTCACTGACGCCTGCTCTTGATCTTCAAACAACTGCTCTGCCCTCGTTCATCTGTAACACCACCCAAATGTCTCAAAGTCGCTGCCATTTGAAAATAGATGTGCCGTTTGGTTAGTGAATTCATGTGAGGTTGAGTTAAATGACCAAAATGATTGACTCAGCTTGAAAGACAAAGACAAAGGAGCGTACAGCTTACATGCTGGTTTGCCCAACAGTACCCTGAATCTGTCTGGGTTCTCTCAGCATAATAGTAGCATTTCAGGCTATTAGATGCAATGACAAACACACTAATCGATAGATAAGCTACAACTGGAGCCACGCATTCCCTGTGACCTTCCCCAATTCAACCTCACAGAATTACTGGTGGTCCATAAAAAAGTCTTCAGCCTGTCAATACCATCGATCCACTCAGGTGGTCCTCTTCCACTGGGGGAGTCCTGAAGTTAAATGATTTTCATTAGAGCATTATCAGGACACATTTCCACACTGCATAAGGACATATTAGGAACAGACATAGTAAATTGATAGCCTTATATTGTAGTGTAGGTTGTAATGGTCAGGCACTGGTCTCAATGAGAATATGTCCTCCAGTTTCACTGTATAGACAGCAAATATATTAAATACCTTTTGTATCAGTGTGATGCCTTTCTCTGCTTGTTCTGTTTAAAGGTGCATGAAACTCCTAAGAAGCCGGCCCCCGTAGAAAATCAAAAGGACAGCTCCGACCCTGAGCTGAGGTGGCTCCAAAGAACAGAACAGTTGCGGGTAGGATGCCCCCCCCCCATTATCCCCCCTATTAAAGTTTTTGGCAGTATTTGGTGTGTGGAAGCTTTATCAGAGCTATCTAGCTTCTGGACAATGGGGTCACTATCACACTGGCTGTTTGTTTCCTTTTAGGAACATGGTCACTGATGATATTGTTGCACTGGGGCTTTCTAGATATGATTAATGCCGTAATAAAAAAAATAGTTGTTGGATTGAAAAAGGAGATGATTATTATTTTGAGCACTTGAGCAGCCACTGCAACGCTGCCAAACCGAGGAGTATAAATATTTTCCCACTGGAATGGGAAAAGCTGGTGTTTTGCCAAATCAACGGCATTAGATGCATGAGACACACGCTCACAGGCCTCTTGCTAAATAATTTGGTCCTATCATGTAAAGAGGTGTACCAGCCCTTCTTCTTGGAAAAGAATTGTCCCTCTTACTAAGAGCTAATGTTTGTCTGTTTTGTCTGGTGTTTTGTGCTTCACACTGCATTTATGAATAGTTAGTATATCTCAAAGAAATGCAGAGGAGATAAAACTGTGAACATCCACAGCCTTTCTATATGATGGTGAAATGAGACCCATATTTAAAGATTTGCTGGCATTAAAAAACATATTATTTCAGGGGATATGGATATGGACATAGACATCCTAAATGAATGAAAACATAGTTATCCTTTCTGTGAATCCTTCTCTAACCTCAGGTCACCCGGACCAGCAAGGGGAAGAAAGCCCAGCGTAAAGAGTACCCCAACCCCTCTCAACAGAAGCCCCCAGCTGCAGTGGTCAGAGCTGGGCAGGGAGGTCGTATGAGCTTCCCATTAGCTCAAGCAGCTGCTGTAACTCAGCCTGAACCTCAGAAGACGATTTCCTCACAGCCTTTGCCCCCAACCATCCACCTCAACATCAACCTCAACACTTCATCTCAACTTCTTTCATTACTCCAGCATACGGATCGGCAGGATACCATCATTAATCTAGCTTCTCTGCATGGTCAGCCACACTGGAGGCCCACGCCTGAACTTCAACCTGCCTTGCCCACAAGATATCAACAAAAAACTAAACCTAGGAAGTCCTCCTTCATGTATCCGGAAGAGGTGAATACACAGCTTCTCCACCAAAACCTGGAGAGTACTCCTGAACAATGGCAAAGGTGAAGCATTCATATTTTCTTTAATTGAATCAAAATGAGAAAGAAATTACACATGTATATGGCATCAAATAATGGCTCTCACAAAGAAAAAAGAAAAACATTCACAACAATCACAACATATGACAAATGATATTATACATTATGAAAATAAATGAATAATATAGACATATACAAACAATAATGATCATATAACACATGTATATGTCACATTTGTTTGTGCCTAACCTAAATTATGGCATCACTGTAGTATTTCTGTAATGACCATAATAATTATAATAATAATATTAATATAATATTGTGTTTCAGGACAAGTCCATTACAGTTGCCATTATCCTGTGGAGAAGAGGAGCAAGCTTGGAACCCCCTCAGGACTCCTACTACTGCTTCGTCACAAGGCCCAGGCTCATACATGGTTCTTCCACCTATAAGAAAGCCACTGACAGGAGAAGAGCCTTGTCAGAGTGGGAACACAGCCTTCCCCATCCATAGCAGTAACTGTGACAGCTACCTGGTTCAGATGGAGAAACAGAAGCAGCTGAAAGGGAGGGTTAATTGCAAGGTTGGTGTTGTCTGAGAACTTGCAGTATTAACACTTTTCATCTTTGCTGCAGAAGAATAGCAGAATACCTCCAGTGAGTATGCAGAGAGCATGCCTGGTTAGATGTGCTCACAGTTATCATATGCATTGTATACATTGTCTATAGAATCCCATCATTCACAAGTAATTTCATAATGTAGCCCTTCTTCGTGGTTATAGGCTGCTGTCTGGTTCTTAATGCTGCGTCATGATAGCTCCCTTAGAATAACCATGTCTGTACTGTATATGACCAAAATATACCATCCCCATAGGTTTTTAAACTGTTCTACACTCGAGAATCAAACTCACTCAACATATACAGAAAAAACATATTCAAGTTAGAAAAATGAGAACACATTATGCAGTTTCACCTAACAAAAGTGACACATAACTTCTTCAGTTGAGTGCCATTCCCTTTTAATCCCCACATACATGAGGAGTTACACAGATAAATGCCTCTTTGAAGTCCCAAATCCCCTCAGCTGTCCTCATGCAGGGACTGCTTAATCCAGCAGGAGTGTTCCAATGACAGAGGGCATAAAACATCAGGTTAATTGTCTAGCTTCACTAAGATACACTTAATTGCTATAAGATGATGACTGCATAAAGCAGGCTCTGAAAAGCCATTTGAACATGTGTTAGAGGCTAAGGTGATTAGATGGGAGAGAGTCTGTGAGGCGCAGGGCCACTAAACAAGACCATTTGCATCTAATGATTTGGCTGTAGCTGTTTTTCCCCTTCACCATCTCATTTTTGAGGCTACATCCATACTAACACATAGTTTTAAAGCGCATCCCTTCCATTTCATGTACACCTGGCATCCAGGAGTTTTTGAGCCCCTAAAGTTTTTAAACTCCTAAAGTGTGAAATGTTGCTTGCCTTATTTTAATTTGAAAACTGGAGGTTATGTTATAGTGTGCATGTGCAGAAACAGACTTGAAAAAAATCTTACATATTCCCTTACTGACTGGTTCTGACCACGCATGGATACGTGGTGAGGGTACTAACACTTACTTCCAGTAATACCTCCACGTTGTTGTTCGTCCAAGAAAACAAATCCCTTTTCTTACTATTCAACATTGTTGTTCAACTGCAGAGCAGACAATCTACTTCCTGTTTACCCCGTCACACACATGACCAGTGTTCATGAATTGTCATGTGATGCATGTTCAGGTGGGTTTGTATGTATGGATGGAGTTTTCTTTCTGAAGCTATAACTCGTCTGGACAGAGATGGTTTTCATTTTAAAATGAGTGTGGCTGTAGTCTCAGCTGTTAGACCCTGAGTGGAAGGCGACTCAGCAGTCCAAGGTAGATGTGTAGACTAGTTCAAAGCTTAGTCGTTGAAGGATTCATGCCATGGCTTTAGAAATAATTTTGTTTGACAAGACACACATTGTTGAGATTGAAAGTTATAAAATCAAGTTAAATCTTGTCGATGAAACCATTAACTGAAACAAACATTGCGATATTGATATTTTAAACCAACTTTTTCTACCACCACACTATAATTCTATAACCAGGTTTTATGATCTTTGTTTGCTTAGACTAGGAATTTTCATACCACCCAACAACTAACAGTTTAGTTAGATGGACACAAGACAGGCTAGGAAGTATATGATTAAATGCTTTGGGTTGTATTCACTCTGGAGCCTTCACATAGTCCTCCTGCGGTGCCCACCCCTTGACCTCCCATCGCTCCCACCATGTTAGCCATCATGTCTGACAAGATTACAGGCTCAATTTGTAAAGCAGTCTGGCTGCAGTGCCGGGGCATGAAAGCAGATGAGCGTGACTTAGGAGTTTGGGGGGAGAGGGGAGAAGTCTTAGAAAGAAAGGTGCCCTGTTGTGTCCATGGCTAAAGCAAACCGAAATCCTCCTCCCAAAAAGGAGCCAGTGCAGTCTGGAATGATTGGCTCCCTTTTGTCTGCGGCAGCTTGAGGATTGTATGCACCCTTACACACACAGGCACACACACAAATTGTCACCAGCAACTGAGAAGAGATAGTATCTACATATTTTTCTGTCTTTTCCCGTATTACTTCTGTCACCTATCACACAAGTTCAGCTCACCAACAGTGTCCCTGAAAAACACCTGAGTATCATATCAGAGCCTAATAAGTAAACACAGTAAGACATTGTGTCTGGTGACACAATTCTTTAAAAGCCCATGAACTGTTTGCACTCTATTTACTGTCTGTGCCATGTTATTATTGAATTTTGGTCTTCCCTTGAAAGAAAAACACTCGTGCACAAACACTAATGTAAATCAGTAATAGGTTTTAACTTTGAAATACATTGGGCATTTAGCATGACCTAGACAGGTTGAGAAGACAGAACATAAACACCACTTGGACTCAGATACCATCCAAATCACCAGAAAAAGTTGTCACTATAGTTTGATTGGGAGGAGCTGTCAATGAACTATAGTGCTCAAGTCAGGACCATGAGCATTATTAAATATACAAGCTGTGTCCCAAATTCAGGGGCCACCACCGTAAGAGGACGCTGTCTTCGTGGGCCGTGTAGACCACAAAGCTGAACCAAAATTAAGTGATCTGGTCTACAGAGGATTTCCGTGCTAGTCCCGTCTTTACTGCTGTTGCCAAGCAATAGAGCTGCAGTTGGACATGATAAGAAAGCGTTTATACCCCTTAGTTTTATTAAACATGTGTACTAGCTGTATGGTTGAAGCCTGATACTCAAGCATCCGACATCTCATTACTTGCCTGTGGTAAGCTCAATGAATCCTAGAATAGACAGTGAAGGATCCACCCATTGGATATTTCGTTTCTCTGGGGTGAAAAGACACTGGTGTTCGGATGCATTTGTTGTTTCGCCCCTGTGGCTGAGGGGTAGAGAACTGATCTGAACTGTCTCAACAACTACCACATGGTTTGCTGTGGTCCAATGGATGAGTGATTATTTCAAAACTTTGACCTGGTGGCACTAAATGAAAAGACAAAGTGATCCGGATACGTCCCTTGGGCATCTGTACCATATATCATTGTAAGCTATTCAGTAGTCATTGAGATATTTCAGAGTAGACAGACATTGCTCTCCCTGGAGCCAAGTCACTAGCATAGCAAAAAACACAAAAAACAATTGTGTGTGACTAAGCATGAGAGAGAATCAGGCTTTATCATATCAAGAACATCCCAGCTTAACGCACATAAGGTCACTGTGCCCAATTTGATCAGACTTTGTCTCAAGGAATGCAATCTGAGACTTTTTATTTCTTCATACATAGTTACATACACACTTCTGATCCGCATGTTGTTCACAGCATCAGCAAATCGTCTTCAAATACGTGAGCACTTTCACAATCTTTAAGTGTAGAGGCGTCAATTTATTGCAGGCTAGTGAGATGGACAAACAACAAGGAGGGAGTGTTTTTTATCTCAATTTGAACCCAGTGAGAAACATAAAAATGCGTAAAAATTGCTGTCTGAGGTTTACTGTTTGTGCCATGTTTCTATTAAGACAGCCGGCAAAACAAATGAAGGTCAATCTGACCAAGGTGTGCTTCAATTTAAATATTCTATCTATCTGTCTGTCTAGGCATACAAGCAGATGAGGACAGACACAAATCAGCATGGCGGGTCTCCTGATTATGCTGCCATTGAAAAGATAGTAAGTATTGACCTGGAGCATCACAATCTTATTACCATGAATTGTCATTCGTTGCAATTGTTATTTTCCCCATCAAGATATATGTATAAATTCCACTGCAGAGACCAAGTGTAAAAAAATATTTGGACATCAAAGCACAGCTTTATCATTACAANTGACCATGTGAAAATGTGGATTTTACCTCATAAATAAATAAGCATGTATTTCTCTTTGAATCTGCTTAACATATTACCAGGACGGAGCTGCCATCCATGGAGGACCTCTACACCCAGCGGTGTAGGAAGAAGAGCAACCAGATCATTAAAGACCCCGATCACCCAAACCACAAACTGTTCTGCCTGCTGCCATCTGGCCGACAGTAACCCAGCATCCGGGCCCGCACCACCAGGCTCAGAGACAGTTTCATCCCCCAGGCCATAAGACTTTTAAACTCCTCCCATCTGCCATAATTTGTCTCTCTGCACTTTACAATAGTTGCAGTACTTTTTTAATTCATATATTCTATTTCATTTTTTATATTTTAGCATGTTAATAACATAATAAGATAACATGCTCACTGACTTGAGGTGAATCCTCATGAGCATCTCCTACTGAAATCAGTTCAGGAGTACTTTTTTACTTGAGGGCTAGCAGGTGAAACTCCTGAGAAAGTCCGGAGCCTCTCAGTGGGACCTTTGCATTCTCACATACAGCCCCTCTAGAGAATGTCCAGAGATTCTCTGGAGTTAAATGCATGTCTGAAACCAGCATTATAAAAAATAAGAAAAATAAGAAATTTAATCTCAAAATACAACGTGAATACAAACTGTAGTATTGATTAAGATAGAGAAAGTACAAACCAGCATCACCCAGGGCAGAGAGAAGCCAGTCAGCCATCAGGTCTGGATTTTGTTAGTTGCCTTTTCATACAGCGCAGGAGATGCTCAGTGTCAGATATGTAATTTATTGGAAATACTCTTTTTTGGTCAGCACAAGGTTTTTGGGGTTTTGAGTGCACAGTAAAAATGATAGAAACGTCAACAAGTCAAATGGCTCACTGTGAATTCTCACTGACAGATACTATTCACCCATCAGCTCAGTTGGATGTTAAACTGACTTCATATTCACGCAGCTGTCAGTTGAATGTCCAGTCATAGGAAGCTCTGTGTGGCTCCTTTGGGTGATGTCTACAAAAGTTCAGGGTTGCAGTGCATGCTGTTAAAGAAGCTGTAATGTTTCTACTGACCCTCCTCCAGGTGTCCAAGTTCATAATTTAAAGGCCCCATGCTCTTCCACAAATATAATTTCATATACAAAGCAAATGAGAGTACCCCTGAGGAGTTAAGTGGTCTTTGTGCTTTGATATATCTCTTGTTAATTCCCAGCAGTAAAAAGTGAGACTGTTAGGCCAATTTACACTAGATCGAGCCCTGTGCATCTCCAGGGCCAAGCCTATTAGTGAACGATATGTGTAAATGTTGATAGGCCTGCTGAATGGCTAGCTGTGTTTGGTTGTGTAGGGCTGCGTGGAGAGGCTCTGCTGAGGGGATACACAAAGAGAAGGGCCTTAAGGGAGAAATGGCTCAGTTAATTAAACCCCCATTTATAATCTGCTTCTGTCTCTCTCTCCCCCTCTCCTCTCTTTTACTCCCTCTCTCACTCTTTCACCATCATCCTGTGAAGAAAATGAAACGACAGAAGCTGTATTCAGAAGTGATCCGCGAGCAGAACAAAAAAATGAGTAGGATTCCCTTTCTACCAGCCAAGGACCCGGAAGGCAGCAAAAACAAAGTTCCCAGGATAAAGGTGTGTGTGTGTGGGGCTGTGTGTGCGGACATATGTGAACCCTAACAATATGTATATATATGTATATATATATATATATCATTAGTTTCCAAACAGCAACTGGTGCTGTGACCACGCTGTATTTCAAAGAATGATCACATATTGCCTATTGCCATAAACCAAAATTGGTTGGAACTTGGGTCATGCCCAGAGCCTTTTGGACCCTCAAACTTTTTGGAGCTAAACAACTACAGAGTTAATTTTTAAAAACAACTTCAAACTGAGTGTGAACAATCTAGACACATTTGATGAAAAGCTATTAAAAGATAGCATTTTCATCATAGGTCCATCGCGGGTCTGTGGTGTGGCCTTGTATTTTGATGCTTCACCATGAAAGAGGAAGCTTTATTTTGAGTGTACACTCATGATAACTTGTCCCACAACCATGTGTGTACTGTATATCAAAGAAATGCATCCATGCCATTCTGGAGTGATCATGGTGGACTAACGATTTCAGTACATTTTTTGACTACAACTGCTATAGTAATTCCATTCATGCATTAACATACATGTGTCTCTCTTTCTCTCTGCCACTCTAAGGCCTTAGAATATGCCAAGACCATAACCAAACCCACTGGGAAGCCTCAACCAAAGCAGAGGCAGAAGTTAAAGACTAAAGACTTCACGGAGCACCAAGGCTCAGATGTGTCCCTGCTGAACACACTGGGACTTCTTAGAAAACGACATGAGGAAGAGAAGCAGGCTGTGGCACTGTTCAGAAAAGTGCATGCTGTCTGAGACACTTCACGGAACCTGTGCTCTTATATTTATATTTCCAGATTTGAAGCACAATACGATGCGACTTTAGATTCACTAGGCCTGGTGTCACATATACAAATCACTATTGAACCACTGTGTAAGAACACACAGTCTTTTAACATTCTGTCTGTTACCAAGTCAGATTTGACAAGAAATGAATAGCTTTAGTGCACAAATAGAGGGTGCTGTTCATCACAAATACACCTTTCAATGTTTATGATGATAATAAATATGTAAAAGACTAAAAGCCTGATGATAGAAACACAACATATCTAATACAATAACTCTGCAATGGATCACAACAATATCAAGAATTCTGGGCAATCACTGGAGGGATGTTCAGAGTCTCAGGGCTGCCAGTGAGAAACATTAGAAACAGTGAATGTAATTACAGAGACCCTTTCTTTGCAAGTTGTGTTTAAATTCACAGTGTGTAAGATTTAGGTGAAAGGGATCTATTGGCAGAAATTTAACATAAAATAATCCTAGTGATGTTGTTTACTACTTTGTTTCATCTAAATTGTATGAATGTTGTTTTCTTTACCCTAGAATGGGCCCTTTATATATAAATACTTTATATTTACACAGGGAGCGGGTCCTCTCTACGGAGGCCGCCATGTTTTTTTTACAGTAGCTCAAACTGGACAAACTAAAACCCCTTTTGAGTTTTTAAGTTGCAACAGGTTGGGGGGGGGGGGATTCAGTTGCAACATGCACCACTAGATGTCACACAATTGTACACACTGAACCTTTAAAGAAGAGGAAATGAGCAAGCTTCAGTTGACTGACAAAGTACCAGCAGCTGATTGACACTGGATCACTGCTCAGCTGTAGCTATCGGCCTGAATTACAGTTCTCCTTTGCACCGCTTGGCTTTTCATTGATAGTTGTTTAGAGCTCCATTCATCCTGCTGAGATATGTAGCTTTATATGTAGTTGATGCATAATCCAGCAGCTTTGTGTTTTTACTCCTTCGGTCATTTTGTTCAGTTTGATTTTTTTTAGTTGAGGACAACTACTGCACTTTAAAATAACCATGTTACAAAATGCTAGACTATAATATAATAAAATAAAATTATCATATATTCATATTTTCTTGTTTGTATGAAAATATTGTCCGTACCAAACCCTTATTGAAATATATAAGGCAGCTCAAACAAATCAGTAATATGCTTTAATGCATACTATATTTTCTGATGGGACTCATCTATAGGAAACAAATGATAATAAAAAACCCTCAAAATTCAGTTTGACTTAAGTCATCCCCACTGGAAGGCCAGATTTTTTGCAACATAGGTTTAGTACATTTGATTAATTTGAATAGTTACATTTAAACACAATGCTACTGAGTTTATGATGTGACATAACAATATGTAGAGGTATGCACCTGACTCATACTACTGTCAGCAGTGTCTTAGACGTGTCACTGACAACCTTTTGGATTTAATGACACTATCATCCAGTATGTTAACAGTGATCATGAACAGTCAATCACCAACGGACCTATGCTTTCTTATTTTCATCATAGAGACAGGTCATTCCCATGTTGTTATTTTAGTCCCCTTAGCACATCACTGTTCAACCTGCAATAATCTGAGTTTTCTCTCCTCGGGTCTCATTTCCCTGTCTTTGGTCCGGTAGCAATGTTCCAAGTAGCAACTCCTCCCAACACAACACTCTGGAGCAGCTCATTTTACTAATTGAACCCTCAGATCATTATCAAAGCACTATTTACCTCTGTGCAATATTTTAATTAGATTATAGTCTCTATTTAACCCATCATGGACTCTTTGAAGCCCTGTGTTTTTAGTGTTAAGTCCTCAGATGCGCGGTTGGAAACAAATGACGAAGCCCTTTTTTCATTTAATGAGAACCGCTGCCTATCCAGACTGAGTCTCTTTGCATCTTTTTTTAATTTCGGTCCCACCTACTCGTTTTTAGCCATTGAAATCCAGTTAATTGAAGGAGTCTTTCACCGCGATACATGAAGGGGGGCAAATTAGCATCCCTTTCTGCCCATTGGGAAGCTAAGGCAGACGTGGATGCTTTGATGTGAGAAGTGCGCTTTCGGTAGACGGCAAGCTTCCTGAAAATGAGCTGATGGCCCTGCTATTAGGCTCAAATGCAGATGCGTCCATGTGTTGCAAAACACTTAATCTTTTAATTGATCACCTTCTGCATGGTCTATTCTCTACATAGGTCTTTCACCGCTGCCTAATCAGAATCGCATTTTGAAGACGACATGAGTTGCTCCTCAAAAGGCAGCGAATCCAGAGCGAAGGTGAAAGGAAGACTGCAGGTTATTGTGCGAATCTCCAGTGAGTCATGCAGCTTGTGGGAGAAAAAATGTAATTTATTGTAATGCAGCTAGTTTAAGATTCGGAAGAGTGTGTGTGTGTGTTCTGCTTGCAGATATTATCAATAAATACTCCCTGTCCCTCCTCTCCTCCACACTTTCATATAACTGTGATGACAATATTACAATGCTCTGAGAACGTTGTATGACTGTTCTTCTGCAGTCTCAAGGCAGCTTTGTATATTGGACCCACTGATGTGTGTCGGTGTGGATGTGGTATAGTTCATTTATTGCACATCTGTTGATTTCGATAGTCTAAGAATCATCAGAGTGAGGTTCGCGCTAAATGACTTTATTTTTGGTGAATAAAAATAACACTGAAATAGCAGGAAAAAAAATATATCTTTTAATGTTTGTTTGTCGCATTCACTTTATTTATCAAGACAAAGGAAAAACTGCAGCACTGCGATAAATTCCAGCTCCAGATGATGAACTTGTAAATTTACACAGCAGCACCAACTCTCAAAGAAAAACAGGGACAACAGTTTTCAGGATGTCCACAATCAAATGACAAAATGTGCTAAATGATGTTGAATCTGTTTCATGATTGATAGATTTTTTTTAAAATTCTCTCCAGGTGCATGCTTGGAAAGTTGTCTCTTAAGCTAAATGAATTCTGTAAAGAATATCTTTAGATTCCTGTAAAATTTAATTCTGACTGTTTTAAGTAAAAATTAAAATTTCCATGACCATATTCTGCACTGAAAAAAAATGTATATAGCTGTTTTAGCATAAAAAAATTGGCTTCATATTGCGAAAGGGAATATTTTAGAATGAGTAAAATGTGAAATATTCTATATGTAATGTTTTAATATTAGGAAATGTAACTTTCTCATCGCTGGGCTTTATGGACGATCATTTCCTGGGTGTCTGCTGAACGAAAGAGACGGAACAACACTCAACATTGTGAACCAGTCTATGACATGATGACTGGAGCAGGGGGAATGGTGGGTGGGGGGGTTCAGTCCTGTACTCCTGCCGCGGAGCGCCGGGTCTCATGCGGCCTCCAGGACCCCGCGCGGTGCTGAGACCACATGTGGCTCCTGGTGCAGGTGGTGACAGAGACTCACAGGATCACATGTGGGGCTTGAATCATAACATACTAAGGACATGTGATTACATGTGTTCTCCGCTCAGCTCAAGTCCCACAATGCAAACAGCAAAGGAAATTTAACCGGGCGTTCCGGTGGTAAAAAAATATAAAAGGTGTGACTGAATAAACAAAGCCGAGTAGCGATTCATTATTTATATAGGCTACTATGAAGTATATACACATATTTACACACACATAGATAAACTGCGCTTCATGGACGAAACTGCAAATAAAATACCAAACAATAAAAACATAAAAAATACATTTATATAAAAAACACATATCGATAAAATGCAGTAGTAAGTGAGTATGCAATTGTTCCTATTGGACATAAGTGCAAAAAGGCGGTGGAGCATGATGCGTATATGTTTCGAAGCAAAGAGCGATTCCATTGTTTTGTTCCTCGTGTGGAAATAAAAGTAACAAGGGTGTACAATGTGGAAATGTACAAATGTCAAGACTTTTTAGTGACAATAATAATAATGACAATAATAATTATAACAATTAGCCTGAGTTTCCTCGGGCATAACAAAAGGACATTTCCCATATAGCTTGTACAAAGAGGTAAATGGGCAGTTCTTAGAAAATCAAAAACGAAAGGCCCACTTTGCATGATTGAATAAATATTGACATTGTTATAGACTGACCCCCTGCACGCGCACACACACACACACACACACATCGCTCCATGTTAAAACATGTGTGTTATGTACAGTTAATGTACAGTGTTAGTCGCTGCCTGTGGGACAAACCGCAGCCTACTATAGTAGATGATCCGGGGAGCAAACGTCGTCCTCGATGTCCACGTCGTCTTCGTCGTCGTTCTCCAGCACGTAGTCCGGCTCCAGTCCGTGTTTGAGCTCCTCTGCGCTCTTTTTGTTCACGTCGCTCTCGCTCGAGTTCTCCGCGGAGCGCTCCGTCTCCCCGGGAGGCTTCCGCTCGTCCTGCGCCTTCCTCAGCTGCTTCTTGTGCTTCATGCGCCGGTTCTGGAACCACGTTTTCACCTGCACCATGATTACACATGTGGATTATGAAGTATCCTAAATATACTAACACAAGTCATGTCCTACCCCTTATTGGCTAATCCTATGAAGCAAACATTTTATATATGAATTCACATGACTGAAAAACGACGTTTACTTAGTAGTGAATTTAAATCAGAAATATGTACTATTCCCTGAATGCATGTAGCCCATCTATTATCTATAGATTTATAAAGTATTTTATATATAAATGAAGCCTAGTCTATAAGAGTAAAATGACTTGATTGTATTTATCGCAGCTGTCATACATACACCACCCTCAGCCCTTCTATCTAAAAGTATTGGACATTAACTCACAGCATGTAAATACATGTGCAACCATTATGTCGTTTAATCAGATCGTTTAATAAATAGTACACAAACCGACTGGTGTCCATCACAAGGAACACACGGGTTGATGTACCCTTGAGCAGACTCCCTATGTGGCATCTCCAAGTGTGTGTGTGTGTGTGTGTGTGTTTGTGTGTGTGTGTGTACCTGTGTCTCGGACAGGCTGAGCGCAGTGGCCAGCTCCACTCTCTCTGGTGTGGACAGGTACCGCTGGATTTCGAACCTCTTCTCCAGGCCGGACAGCTGTGAGTCGGAGAAAACCGTCCGGGCCTTCCTGCGCCTGCAGTGCTTCCCTGGTAACTCTGCGTGGTGCTGGAACAAGGCCGGCATCTGCATCCCTACAGGTGCAAGGAACCAAACCAAAAGTTTCAATATATCATGTCATATGAGTTATTATTATTATTATTATTTTTTTTACCTCTAGCCTTTATTTGGTTTAGTTGACATGTTTTTGTGCGTGTAAAAACCGTAACTAATTTTAGGCACAGTAAAGAGCGACCTGAGAATCAAATTTAAAAGACTTTGTAAAAGTTCTTTCCAAACGAGACAAATTTGAGACGAATAAAATAAAATATTTATGTAAATTTCAAAACTAGATTTTAGTGCTGTAACGTGAAATAATAAATCACCGGTTATTGTAATTTCCTCAACAAATGGATATCACTTCATTTTTGAGGATGTTTGTGATATTCCAGAACTCATCTTTGTCACCACGTAAATACACAAAAATGTATCAACACTGACTTTGATTTTGAATCAGAAAAAAACCCACATTTTGATTGACTTAGAATAAAATATAAATCAAAGCTCTGGGTAAGCGGGCCAGCAGAAAAACCACCTGCTGCACATCACAGCTGAAGCCCCTGCATCATCTCTTACCAGAAGTGAAGAAGTACTGGTGCTCCGGCTTGTGCAGGGGATGGTGCGGATGTGGCGCCAGTATCGGGGTGGGCATCAGCGGATATCCATACTCCAGGATGGGCATCCGGGAGGCCAGGGAGCTGCAGAACGGCGAGGGGATGACCTCTCTGAGCGGCTTGGGTTTGTGCAGCAAGATGTCCTCTATGAAAAACGACGTGGACCTCTGCGTGGGCGCCGCAGACGCGTAGTTCATGCTCATGGTGTTAGTTTGAGGTGTGTGCTGAGTGTTGGTTTCTGCCCAGACGTGCATCAGCATCTGTGGGTCTCAGGTTTAACGCAGCCTGTGAGTGATCGCTGACATACAACCAGTGGGAGGGCACATGTCCAACAAGTAGCCCATTTATTCACAGACACATGCGGATTGGGGAAATTGATTTGGGTTTTGGCCAATTAGAGCTGAGCATGGTCGGTGGGAGGCGGCGAGGGGCTGGTTCTGCGCTCTTATTGGCCGAGGCGCGTTAGGCTCTCTGTGGGAAACCGGACAGCAAATAAACAGCGCACCTGTGACCGCAGCTCATGTGAGCAGCCACTCAGAGCCCAACCGTGAATCTGTGCTCTTTACGGTGTCCTAGCAACAACGCTGCTTTTTACTCACCACCGACAATTATTCTTTATGATTAAGGTCTGAATTGGTTAATGATATACAGAAAAGTAGCCTGCTTGCTTTGGTAAATGAAATCCAAACCACAGGCTGTTGTTTTACTATATTTATCTTATATGTTTAACGTCTGTTGGCCGACCTGTTTTTCGTGAGGTGGACATTAGGAGACAATCCTAGAAGCCAGTTGATGGTAGATCTGTTGACTGGTGACATTCAAATAGTTTTAATAATAATAATAATAATAATAATAATACGACTGATAACAATAATAATAACTACAATAATCATAATGTTAATAACCACAATAATAATAATATTAATAACCACAATAATAATACAAGAATAATAACAGCTATAATAACTATACTAACAATAATAACCTAACTATCAAAGTACTCTTATATTTCCAGGCCTTTCATAAGTTATTAAATCCGATGATGGCCTTCGACACAAAACTTTAAATGAACGGACCTGTATCTTGGACATGCGTCCTTACGCCGGGTTTCATCTCTTTCTTCGTGTTGGCAGTTTTTCAGTCAGGTGCAGTGGCCTGTGCCACAGGGGGACTGGGCTGCTACAGGTCTGACTAGTGGGCTAATTCCTCCCAAATTGACTGTAATTGTCGGTATTAAAATCTGGGAGAGTACAAGTGCCGCTCCTGTGCCCATTTGCGACAGAAAGCGGTGCGCTGTAATTTGTTGATACGGTGTTGTCATCACATTTCCAATCAGTCCCGTTAATGTGAAAGTGTCTTAATGCAGGCAGAATTCACGCTGCAATGCTATTAGGCAATTAGACCGAGGGAGGCGTTTGAGCGGAAGTTGTAATCCTCGGGCTGAAGGACAGGATTTCCATTTGACCAGACCCAGCGAGGACAAATTCATTAGTGGGAGTCAGTTAGGCTGGAAAAGCTCTGTTGCATTAGTTTGCATATAGGTTTGTAAAAACACGGGCGTGTGTGCTGAAACTGTAAATGAGCAGAGTCGCTGCTGCTGCAAATCAGACACGTCTTGGTGGAGAAGACTGTCCATTATATGATGGAGGCTTCCAAGTGCGCACAATCTTCTGAAAAGTTATTATGGTCGAGTGCTACAAAAGTGATTCCAATTAATTTCCTCTGTCAGATTTTTCCAAATTAGAAATAAGATTTCAGCAGACGAAACCAAATTAAAAGACACCTCCGATCATATTTCTAAAGGTAAAGTTGAAGAATAGAAGAGAGCTGCGCAGCAGATGGAGGAAACCCTGCCGCGCATGGCCGTGCGTCAATCCCCTTTATGGAGCGCACCAGGATAACAAGTTGCTTTTAGGGGGAAATTAGAAAGTAAATGAAACAAATGGTGATGAAATCGTCTTAAGGAGCTGTTCTCGAGGCGCGGCTAAGCTGCTTTCTGTGGCCATTTCATTAAGTAAAAATGTGAGCCGGTCAGGCAGTGCGTCACTTCGTTAAGTGGCGCGTTTGGATAAGAGGTTTGCAGCAGTGCGCCGGCTTATACCTGGTTTACTCTTTACACAGCAGCCATCCTGCAGCTGGTGGAATAAAATCGATGAGGTGCAGAGGAGCTCAACCACAATGTATTTGTGGCAAAATATCAGCATTGTGTGTCCTCACATAAATAATATAAACAGAAAACCGTTGTACAGTGCTTTATACTCCTACAACATTGCTGTGAAATTGAAACGGATTAAAACAGATACAATTTGTTTGGTTTAAACTTAATTAAACTTGAAAAAAACAGAAGAAACACAATGATTGTATTTTATATGTTCAGTATACGTTTTCCCCCAATAATATTCCATTGTAACCACTTGTGTATAAATAGGCCTATAAAATGGAGAGTTCAATTTTTACAAAAACCTAAAATGTGTACACCATAACGAATGACAGCGTGTGTGTTTCAGCCAGTTTTTTTAAAATCTGAATGTCAGGACGATTTTCGCATTGCAGACTGATCTGAACTTAATTTGGTAATTTTTGTAAATTAGTCGGGCAAATTATAACTCTTTCTGACAAACAGACAATGCTGAAAACTCACCGGGCACAACCCTATAGCAGATAAATGATTCAAATACATACAGTGTCAAGATGAAAACGAAGAGTCTCATTACCCCCAAATGTTTTTATTTCAAATCATTTCAAGTTTGAGCATTCATGTACTAGAGGTAAACTCTGCATCCATGTTACTGGTGAGGATCTGCACACATCTTTGATGCAACTCTCAACATCATAATCCACTGCAGGTTTGTAGGTTCAGTCTTCTAATGAGAGTTGACGCTCCTGGGGCATTCATGCATCCGATAGGCACACATATAGAATACACCTGAAAACAAAGACAAGTTAGGTCTTTATTATTCACCATATTAGAGATTAGTTATTGAAATGCCTATCAGCTAAAATCATTGTTTGTAATTTAATACATTTGTGATTATATGTGACTTATTAATTCAACAGCAATACCTCAAAATGAATGTACTACATTTTTGGATCATGTTCAGTACAGTCACTGAACATCTTTCATTCACAAAGAAGAAAATCAAACCAACCTTAAATGTATTTGCGGTACATTGAAACCAGAACTGAAATGAGTTCTTTATATGAAAACTCACCAGCCTAACTAATGAGTCCTCTGCTGTGTCCCACAAATGCTGGTAGTGAAAACACATTATAGTTGTACTGTGTGCTTGGCATCTAGTGAAGGGAATGCCACAGAAATAAATGGACACCATGTTCCTGTTTCCATCATTTCATGTTCCTCGTTTTAGTTCTACTAATTTGTAACATTTTTTCTCAGCAAAACAGTTTAACATGATGATGATATTAGGAGCATGTGGACGCTGTTTTTCTGTAACTGATAGATAGATAGATAGATAGATAAATAGATAGATTGATTGATAATTCATCCAGAGGGAGATTTATGTGGCTTGATTGTTTTCTGCTGAGAATATAATTGGTCACATTATGTAACATTACACTCTTGGTGTGGTATTGGTTGAGGCCTTGACATGTGTAATCTATAAAACTGAATTTAACATTTTCTATATGAATTATTGTAAAAGTTAATCTTAATATTAAAGGTCCAGTGTGTACGATGTAGGAGAAAGGGATCTATTGGCACAAATTGAATGTAGAATAATCTTCATGATGATTTCACTAGTGTGTTTCATCTAAATTGTATGAATTGTTGTTTTCTTTATCCTACAAGGGGCCCTTTATATTTAGATACCTTAAAAACATGGCAGCCTCCCTAGAGAGGACCCCCTCGATGATAATATAACAGTAGTCCAGACTGAACAAAAGAAACACCTTTTGAGTTCTTATGACAACTGAAGCTACCACAGGTTCTCTTTCATTTTAGGAAGTGGAGGGGGAGGTGAGGGGTATTCAGCTGCAACATGCAACTTCACCACTAGATGTCACTAAATTCTACACACTGTACCTTTAGGTAAGCTTGCTGCTAACTATGACATCGTAAAATATGTCCTCACTTCTCCGAATGCATTATTGGTTGTTAATCGTTACCCAAAGGATATATCAACATTGACAAGGAACCTTTGTGAACAAGATGAACCCTATTGCAGCTTTGTTGGTTTTCATGTTTACCTGAAAAGAACGTGAGCACCACTGACACCCAGCCAATGATATAGGACCAGGAGAACCTCCAGTTTCCATAGCGTTTCCCATAGTAGTTAATAGTCACACCAGTGTACACAGCCATAGCCAGAAACACTAAAAAGCCTGGGCAGGAAAAAATGAAAAGAAAGTGTGATGAAAATGTTTCGGAAAAACGATTACCACAGCTGCTCATTATAGCTGTCAGTTAACAATGTTCCCATGGATTCACCCTTCATTACAGATGAACACCAGATCATCTCACTCACACTTGATAAGGGACACAACAAATAATGTAAAATAAAGAATTTAAAACATGAGCTCAATACAAAATCTTTCATGAATGAGGTATTTTAAAACTTTACATTCAGCTCGGCTTGTGTGAGTGGAATCACCAAAAAGCCAAATTAACTGCTAATTACAGCTGAAACCAAAAGTGGAAAAACAGAGGAGTTGAACTTACATGCGATGAAAAACAATATGCCTGCAGCAAAGGTTTTGTCAAATCTGTCGAAGGAGGAGTAATGGATGAAGGCCATAATGCCGATGATGATTCCAATGAAACAGGCCAAAAGCGAGAGGATCATGAGGGCGCGGGTGGCGTCTAAGTGGGCTGTGGACAAGGTCAAAGGTCAGTCACGAGTGGGGTCAGTACAAGTCAACAGAGGTGAATGACCTGAGACGTAGCTCTGCTCAGGCCAAATTAAAAAAAGCAATGTGAGGAACATCTCTGAGAAGAAAAGATGAAAATCGTAAATGAACAACCACATGTTTAACAGAAGCGATTGAAGTGAAACACATTCTAAAACAGGGTCAAGTTGAATCTGACACCATTTGCAAGATGAGCTGAAACTCAAAGAGAGGAGACAACAAGCTACATTTCTGCCTCCTCACTCGTGCTCAATCTTCCACAAACGTGTTTGTGCATTTATGGATGAAAGGGAGTGGACTGTGTGGGCAGTCAGTATTGAGTTGTTAGTTTAAAGTGTTACTACGACCAAAACCCTCCTGGTCCTGTAATGATCCTCTGAACGGAATAATTAAACAACCAAAGACGAAAAAAATCAGGAGTCACATTGCATTGTAATTATTCTATTTTTTCAGTTTGATTAACAGTCAGACCTGAGTTTGGTAGAAAGTGATAGGAACGTTTTCTGTGTTTGTAACCATCACAAATGTCTGCAAGTAACATTACACTGAAATCCAATGAAAGAGGAGGGATGCTATCTACCATGATCTATCCTTTCTGCTGCTAACTGAACAGAGCAGTATTGTAACACTGCTCACTCTGCTCCCATTCCAGACTTTATGTGTGGGTTAACCAGTCCGTGCGTTCAGGTTTGAATTAGCCATAGACCCATACAGATGTTCAGACAGAGGACTTTTTTGTTAGCAGGCTGAACCTTTCTTGCTAGCGTTTAACACTTTAAATCTCTGGCTCCACCCCCACGGCTTTATCTCGTTCTCATCAGTGAAATAATGATTTGTGCCTCTGGAACAGCTCCACCTTCCACAAATGTCTGCAGAACGAACAAAAAATGTAAAAGTCAGTAACTTCCCAATCATCGACAGGACTCGGCTACACTTACCAATGCTGTCACTGTGAGGGAAGCATTTGCCTGGCATACAGTAGCGCCACAGGCCCTGGTGCATGTAGTTGCTGGACTGCCGATACTGCATCCAGTAATCGGTTGCTGTGGAAACAATCAGGAGGATGTTCCCCACGCCTGCACAGAACAACCCTCCACCCATAAAGCTGTACATCCTGCACCTGCAGACACACACACACGTACAGAGGAACATAAGGTCGCTTAGAATCAGCGGTCAGTGGAAGGGCCCCCCTCCTCTGCACCTAACAGACACACACACTTCAGGGAGAGAGGGTGTAAGTGTCAGTAATTGCTTTGTAATGAACATATTATTTCCACTGGATTGAGCTGCGGGGTCGCCTGGGTATGTGTATGCTCCACTTTGTTCTCTGGGACATCAGTCCCTGAAGAAGGCTTTACATACACCCCCACTCACAATGCGTGCACACACACAAGGTCCAACCACTATCAAATCCAGTGATGCTTTGATACTTGATACATCTATTGCTCATTGTTCCACCTGGGTGCAATATCCTGCAGCCATCCTCTCGTTCTCATGGAGAGTTGTCATGGATGTTTTTTGGGGAAAAGATGATAGAAAGATATATCTTGTTATCTCTGAAACCTGAACTGAAGAGCTCTATAGTTCCGCACATCCCTCTGAGCATCCTCTCTGGCAAGTTCCAGCAGCTGTCTCAATCTAAACCAAAGCACTTTTAAATCAATTTGAACCCCAGCATGTAAAACAAATAACAACAGTCTCAGAATGTCAGTGTTATGTGATGTATGAAAAATTGTATTTTATCAACATCAGTCAGCTAGTTGGATGAAATATTTTTGTTCAGTAGTCACCACGATTGAAGCCCCTGAAACAAAAGTTACTTTAATTTCTTTTTCACTTGGACAGAGGTTGGTTGTGGTTGGCACTGACCTTGTAGGTGATGGTTTCCTCTCAACAGAAATCCCCCACCCATCACTTCAAACGTCCTAAAATACCTGAGAAAGCTGAGCCACCAAGAAAACAAATCTGGGCGTATTTATTCCATGATAACCTATAGCTCCGATTCCCTTGTTCCATAGTAGCTGTGTGGTAATCAATGCAAAATGCATAATTTTATACATGCACAGTAAAAAAGCAGCACAAAAAATAGCAACAAATAAAAAGAAGAATAACTGAATAAAAAAGAACAGTTTGTGGAAAGAAATCTGTATTATCTTACCGTAATCAACCCCTTTTATGAAGATGTGTGAAGACAGGGCTGCCTGACAAAATACAACAAGATCCTATAATGCCAACACAGGCAGATTCCCAGCGAGCTAATAGCTCTAGCATTTGACGGGTTGAACAGGGGGGAACTGGGGCCACAACAAACACGGCGCTGAGACAATAGGCCAGGCCGACCGCGGGCCAATCAGCACCTGCCAGTTTTGTGGTTTGGGAATCTGCTGAAAACACAGAAATGACCAAAGCTTGGCAAGCTAAAGTAATACTGATGACTGCATGGTTTTGATTGAAAGTGGAGGGCTGAACAGGCTTTACTGGGGGGGAGGGCAGGCGTAATATGCACTGCTGCTGATACTGGGCTCATTTAAAAGCAAACCTTGTCACAAAAGTTTAAAAAAGAAGTTTAATAATCACATTAAGTCTTTATAAATGTTGTTACATTTGCAGTAAATATGAATCAATATAACACATACTGTATGTATTTAATATTTTCATCTACAGGACATGAAAAATATTGTGGTTAAAACGTATTTCAATCTTTACAACGCTGTTTACAAAACCATTATAAGTTCAGCATCAACCTTAACACCGTGTTCTGTCTCCACTGTTTTTATTTTATTTCTTTCTCATCTTTCATTCTGTTGAAGTTAAACGTAGAGTACTAATTTTTTGTTTTTGCATTTATGAGTTGAAAGTTGAAATGTCAAGCTACTTTCAAAGCCTGCATGGTTTTTCTCCTTCTGAACACAGTTTTTGTCACAGTCTCTTCAAAGTCCAAATACTGATTACCACACTGTGATTATGTACAAAAAGAGAAAGAATGTCACCGATTCATCTATATATTTTTCAAAGTTTAACTTTAAGCTTGAATTCAAAATATATTGGCAACATTGGACTTGATTCTGGGCACGAGAGAAAAACATTTAGATTTATTCCAATTTATTCTGGTAATTTCAACTTTGTTCTATCTATGAGACGGAAAGAAAACCTTCCTCTTGTTATTTTTTTCTTTTTATGTCTGGCCCTAATACTAATTTCAATATGTTACAGTGTACCTGTAACACTGGTCTGTAATTGTAATCACAGCAATATTAAAGCAAACATCTTCCTGCAACAACAGCATTTCATCTTTATTGCTGCTTTTCATGCACTGTAAATCAGTCTGTGGTTCCAGTGGTTCCACAGTAGTTTTTCAAATATGTCCTCAATTTCACACGTTCATCTTTCACAGTAAAGCTATACTGTGAAAGGACAGAACTTTCTCCATCACTACTGAGATCCGATGAGCCAAACGTTCTCTGCCCTGCATTAAGCAGCACACAGACACTGTTAGAGACATGCTGGTGAGCAAAGTTGAGCATTTAGCAGCTAAAGACATATGTTCCTTTCAGTTGGGTATAGAGCTAGAGAAAGAGTGAATTTGGAAGTGCATCAGGTTGCCTGAAATCTTAGAGCTGCTTATGCCGCGGCTTAGTCGCGAATGTATTTATCAATGAATCGAAGGGGAAAGAGACATTGCGTCTACTGTTGGTTCTATATGGGAAGTACAGTGTTGGTGACAGAAACATAGGGAAACCTTTTAACTGTTGTCAAGTATTCACATAATATGATGCATGTTGCTGTCAGGTATGGATTAAGGCACTGGTCGTTTTTCAGCGATGTGGAATCATTCTCCCTCGTTCATTTGTAACAGTGCATTACTATATTACAACATTTACTTGCTGAAATACTTGAAATATATAGAAATTCCACTTTAAAAATTGGTAGCAATGAAAGTAAATGGAGGCGGCAGGTGTTTGAAGGAGCAGTTCACACCAGAGCAGATCCCTTCACTGTGCTCTGACTTGATGTTTCCTTCATTCTCACCATCATCTGCCATATTTCCCCCTGTTGTGGCTCTTTGCCATATCCAGCCAGACCTTTCTTTGCTTTGACACACACAGGCACAAACCCTGAAGATGAAAGGAAAAGAGTAGCTCCATTAACTGCATTACAGCAAGTTGCTCAGACCAATTGACAACAAAATGCCCCAGAAAAAGCATTTTTCTCCCCGAGATTTGAGTGCTGTACTTACATCTAACTTCATTTTTATAGACTACAGCCTATTTTCTTCCATCTGGAGTGTGGCAGCCAGGAGGGCATTTGATATCCTCCCATGCACCATCAAAGTGGACAATATGCCTCTGTGACAGAAGAGCAAATCCACGTTTTCTTGTATCCATCCAGCTTTTGAGAGATTAATTTTGTTATGGAAAGTCTACATTTATGTGGTATCATTGGTGAGTAAGGAGATCATGCAGCACTCGGGAAGGTAATGCGACAAGAGTAATTACAAAGAGTGCGCGTCTGTCATGTCTGCATTGTTGTGGCAAAGTCAAAAAGCTTAGGCACGTCTGAAATCCTCCTGCTTGTTGTGCACCTGCTGTCTGACCAAAATAATCCACACACTCCCTTGACTCTCTGTTTGAAAGCTCTGCCTCACTGAGTAACTGTTCACTCAATTTTATAGTTACAGGATTACAGGCTTTACTGGCCGAGTACTTAAAAGATGTGGTTTGTTGTGGTGGTTGAGTAAAAAGATCTTTTTGTTTTTGAAAAAGTGACAGTGTGTCACCCTGCGTGTTCCCTGATTTCATACCAAGTATTGAAGGTGATGGAGAGTAAGTAAATACATGGTATCAAGTAAAATTTGAGGCACTTTACTCATATTTCCAATTTATGGTAATTAACCCTTATACCTGCATTTCAGGTAATTCTTTACTTTTTATTCCACCCTAATTATTTACCGGCTAGTTGCATTGACTAAACAGAAGAAATAAAAACATCTACGTGCAAAAATCAAGATTGAATTATGATATGTTGATAGAAAAAAGGTCCTTTGCACCCTGTGTTTTCACTCATTATGTTTTATTATAGCTGTTGTGGGTGGAGTGGTGTGAGGCCTATACATAATAGGAATGATAAAGCTGTAGCTTTATCCATAATAAAAATGTCCGTGCTACAGTCCTTGGAAAAGGTCTAATGCCTAATAGCCTAAGCCATTAAAAAGATCTAAAGTTATCCATCACCATCATTGCCAGGTCCCTCAGTGTATAACCGTCACCATGGACTTGTGTTAACTACTGATAATATTTTCTGAATCAAAATCAAAACATAGGCCACTATAAATACATGATTGTATAAGGTTTTGATGACCATTCATATCATGCAGAAATATTTTAAATCCCTGTTTTCACACATCATATAACCTGGCACTGAGAGCACTTCATCAAATGCATGTTTAATTTATAGCACATCATCATTCCTCCAATCCATGTGTCTCTGAGGTTTGTTGTTTTAGTTTGTGTTGCTGTTACTCTGTCTATATTTTGTCACTATTACTACACACCACAATCCATTTCTCTTTTTATACAGATCCTCTCAATGAGAAGCTTCGATCCATCGTTGTACAAATGGAACAAGTGACTGAGCATCAGATGACCTTTCACTATGGACAACCTGTCCAAATTAGAACAGCTACATTGCTGTTCAGCAGGAAAACAACCTTTTGTATAAATGTACAGTGAGAGCAGAGATGTGAAGGTGACAGAAATCAGTCAAAAAATGAGAAACGCTGGTATTTTCCAGCTGTGCTGTTCACAAGACACAAGGTCAAAAAAACCTATAACGGCCTCTGAGAGTTATCGACATTAGTGGGCAAAATGCTTCTAAATCTTTACGTTCCAGCCACGCTTTGCCTAAATGCTTGAATCAACTCTTCGGAATTGAATTTTCAAGCCTCCAAATGGTTAATTTGTGCAAAAGTGCTTTCAGTGTTCTCTCAGCAAATGAACGGCAGCTCTAATCATAAGAGCATGTGGATGGCTCTGCTTCTCTGCAGCCACCCGGGAGACAGCCGCGTGGACGGGGAGAAAAACCTTTCCACTTAACCACTTAAATGAATATATCAAGAAACTAATTTGTCATTTTAATTGCGTGATTTAGGAAGACGCTACTTCACTTGCCCCTCTTCCATCTTGGTTGATTTCCAATGTGAGCGCACATTAGATTGATCTATGAAAGACTGCAGAAATCACAACACTTAAGTCTTTTCATTTTCCCTCTCTAATTAAATAATTGAAATTCCTGTCAGTGTCTGCACTTAAGCCACACACAAACATTGCAGGCATGCCGTGTAGCTGAGTGAATCGTGAAAGGCTTGTTTTTTTTTTTATCTCTTCAGTTCTTCACCTTCTTCCTTTTCCTTTTTGTCTTCTAGGAGCCACAGATTCATTCCATCTGTCAAGCCCAGAAATAGATCAGTACATCAATTTTGTTGAGATTTGCCCATCCCATTAAGTGATTGCTTGCAGAAATGGCAGGGGACATTTCTTCTGATACGTTCCCTGAAACAGCGCTGGCAGACATTAAGGACACATTATTGAGTCCCATTTTCTCCCAGCCACAAGGATATCCATTAGAGCGGCACACAGCCCTAAATTTTTCCATTTTCTCCCTCACCAAACTTGACTTTACACATTATTTCTGTCTCTGTTTTGTAATTTGCAGCCACAAATTATATCAGGGAAAAGCCATTTCGTAGCATGTGGCTCCTCTTCCCAGGGCTATTTGCCAAGACTTGATTCTGAAGTGTCAAAATGGGCCCATCGTTAGGGCTAATCATGACTGACAGCAGGGTGCTTTAAAGTCCATACAAGTTGGCCCTCACTGGAAACTTTCTGTAAGTGTGTGTGTGTGTGTGTGTGTGTGCAGGGTGGCATGTGATTTATACACACTGATGCTTTACTGACAGAGTACCGTCTTTGTATTTCCTGAAGCAATAGTCTCTTTTCAAAAATGTGGGTCTAAATATAACACACACAGAGGCTTTTTTTGCTTCTCAACCTGAATGTAAAAAATAAAATAAAAAAGGAGAGAAAGTAACAAGATCATAATCAATCAAAAAGTATTTGTATAGCCCATATTCACAAATCACAACTTGTCTCGTGGGCTTAACAAGCTGCCCTTAACCCTCAACTAGAGTGAGGAAAATCTACCAAAAATACAAAAGGAAAGAAACATGTGAAAAAAACTGTAGTTACAACATTGATTAGAAGAAACTGTCTCT